GATCTAAAGGGTATCAAAATTTACAAAAAAAAAAAAAAAAAAAAAAAAAAAGCTTAATATTTATTTACTTTAGTAAATATTCTTCATGTAAGTTGTTTAGTTGCTTTGTTTTTGTGCTAATACATTCTCTTTAATTCTATAAACAGACCTAATTTCTTGTTAGTACAAGTTCCACTATTCAAGTCCTGTAATTGCTGTGTCGAGATACCGACAAACTTTTCACTCAAAAAATGCTTGTGTCATCCGTGCTCTTTTATTTGCGCAATATATAATGGGGAAAATCATTACTCCTTTAAATGCTCGAAGTGGTGCATGTTTTCCGATTATGAAAATTTGCACTTGTGCGTTCCTGCAGCATTTGCGCACTCTAAAATTGTTAGTCTCGCTTTGGAATCTTTGACACCAGTTGGAGCCTTTTCTATAGCAGTTGCCAAGGAATTCCACGGTACATATTGCCACAAAAGACCAGTTTCATCAGGGTTGTAAATTTGTTCTGAAGATAATTGTTCAATAGTAATGAGTTCAATGATTTATCTAAAATTGTTCAGCAGCTTCAGTATCAGCTGAAGCTTTTTCACCTGAAATTTTTAATTGTCTTATACCATGGCGATTTTTAAATTTGGTTAACCAACCTGTCAAATATGTGCACTCAGTCTTTAAGTTCATTTCTTCATGAAATATTTTGGCTTGAGCCATTAAGAATTGGACCCATCAATCGCACACCCTCTGACCCATGCGACGCTGTCTGACCCATTCAATTATCACATTGTCATGATCGTCACTTTTAGCATAACGGACCCTTTTTCTGTTATTTATTGCAAGTGGGGTGTCGGAATTCATAAAAAGTTCTTTTTTCTTTTTCCTTATGTCATATAATACAGTTGACTTTCCAATGTCATACTCATCACATAATTTTGAGACAAATATGCCTTTATCCATTTATTGCAGCAATTCCACTTTTTGGTTGATGGACATCAAAACATGCTTTTGCTTTGTAGATCCTTTAGCAGCTTCAGAATTGTAAACTCTTTTTAACACAATCGAAAGTTCAAGCTTAATTTTTATAAAATTGCTCTAACAGTCTGCAAAAAATAATAAGCTGGATCCAATTAGAAAATCTTCTAACGAATCTGCTAAAGAAACAGCGCAATCTGCAACTGAAATGCCTTAGAATCAGTAAAGATAATTTTAGCATACCTTATACCGTCCGAAACGCGCATGTGGAAAGAATACAAAAAAAAAAAAAAAAAAAAAGTTTGTGGCTTTGAGCTCCAGATTATAGATTATTCCGGATAATGGACGTCGAGATAACAGACTTTATACTGTATTGAAATTTATCACTATCAGAAATTCGTAGTATCTTTGTCAATTTTTTCAAACTGACTCCAAAAAACTAACCATTCCTTAATTTCACAATCAAATTTTCGTAATTCAAGCTTTGGAAGCTAAAATATTAATTACATACATTCTCATTAACAGATTCATTAAAAATTAAATTTGAAGTACTTACATTTTGTAGATTCTGAAGAATATCTTTCATTTTAGTCTCGATTCTAACGGTCTTGTCACGATAATCTTCAATAACATCGAATTCTGGTTCAATTTCGTTTCCGGACAGTGTGCTCAGATAAGTAAGGAAACGTACTTGCATATCTTTCAAGCTTTGAACTTTCAAAACAAAAACGTTAAGCTTCGACTGAATTTCAGAAGAATTTATCTGACTTTTCTTTAAAATTTCTTCTAAAACATTGAAGGATTTTGTAAAAGCAGCTCTGTGAATCTTCCTTTCCAGTTTAATAGCTTCTTTAGCTTCCATTTTATTAGAATTCAAACTAAGTCTTTTATGTCCCACCGAGGGCACCAATAAAATGTTTGGTTACGTGTCAAAAAAAAAAAAAAAAAAAAAAAAAAAAAAAGAACTATTACGCTACCAACGTATCACAGACTCTTAAGAGACTACTAAAAATATTCTGAAGTATTCATTTATTAACTTGAGTAAAACATCACTCATTTACATACTATGTCATTCTTCTTTAAAATAAGCCTAACTTAACTACAGAAACATATTTTCCTAATTCTATAAATCATTTTGTTGCCACTTCTAAGAAAATAAACTAACAATAATTATTAGTGGCCAAATGACATTAAATAAAAAATTAAAGGAAAGTAAGTAATGTTAAACTGAAGCACGTATAAAATAAAAACTACATTCATTTGAAATCCAACAATCCGTGCACCATAAATCTTCTGTATGCGATATTACGCCCTTGGAATCAACAGCTGCTAGTATTCGGAGAATAAAGAACTAAATAAAGGAAAAGAAAGAGACTTACCAATTTAGGGTGTTTTTAATTCTAATTTTGTACAGCTGCATTAATTTCTGAAATAGAATCATTTCGCTTGGGGGTAGACCACAGAACTTTTAGTCCTATCCAAACCAGGTTGGAAAGTGGCAAAAAAAAAAAAAAAAAAAAGTCTGTTGCTTGCTTTGCTGCGAACTGTAACGGTTGCAATATTCGAGATTTTGCAGAGAAGGGGAAAACCCCCAACTTCCGTACTGTATAATGCATTGGCAAAGAAAAAAAAAAAAAAAAAAAGAAATTATTTTGACTATTTGATTACTTTCACTTTAATTATGCCATCCGAATATTAATTCCTTAGAAAGCTAATCTGTGTTAAAACACATCCATTTCTGGAAGTTTAACTTTACTTCAGCAGTTACTGCAACTATATTAATTATAAATATTCATACATATGCTCATAATATAAGCATAACAATCATAATAAACACGAATATGAACTGACCACGTGGAACAAGAATGTAAATTATTAAAATCGTGTTAGAAATTCAAACATGTGTAGTATTTGGGTGGGAGGAAAAAGAATATGGAATATACCGGAATTTTCTACTGCTTTCGCAATTCTCTGACTAATACACTGCTCAAAACAATTAAAGGATATTGCGGTTTTAGGTGGATCTTGTGGCTGAGAAGCTTTTTAGCTGATTGATACATGGTCGACAGACATAGTAGGTTATATGAGTATAAATTACATGTTTGGCAGAAAAAAAATGCATTTTATTGTGCATTTGTGTACAAAAGGAAAAAAGCACAATTTGCGCATATGAGGAAAAAATAATAAGAAAAAATGTTTTCTTCAAAGGAAGGAGAGTTTGTGCGGGTGGTTGGCGGCCAGCAACTTGTCTTCCTAGAGCGTCCCAAACATGCTCTATTGGATTCATGTCCAGAGAACACGCTAGCCATTCCATTTGTACGATTCCTTCCTCGAAAAGGAATTCCTCCACCAGGTTAGCACGAGTGGCCTGCAGTTTCGCCATTAAAAATGAATCATCTCCGATTGCGAGCGTAAAAGGACTACAATAGGTTGAGGATCTCATCCCTATATCGGCGACCAGTCAGAGGTCCATCTTGAATGATGTAGAGGTTGTGCGCCCGTCAAGGGGATGCCACTATACACCAACACTCCCCCACCGCAAAACTGACACTCTCGTGCACGAACGCAGGATTTTCCTACTGCCACGGTCCCTCCAGATGAAAATAGCCTATTATCAGGTAAACAGAAAATGGGACCGCAGAAAAAAAGAAACATTGCTCCATCATTTCTCCTCCAGTTCACATGCTCTGTTGGCCCACTCCCTGCAGGTCGCGCGATGGCCTTGATGTTAGCTAACACATACCATCAGTCGGCGAGCATACGACCTACACCATTGGAGCCGGTTTTCGGACAGTCTGAGTTGAAACGTGGTGCCAGTAAGCCGAGCGAAGGTGTTGTTGGAGAAGAGTAGCATTCATTTCGGTGTCTCCGAGCCATTAACACTAAAATGATTTCATGGGTGTTGTCGCCTGTCTACGACCTTGCCATGGTCTTTGGCGCATTCCAGTTTCCAAAAAAGGTTCCAGATCCTGGAAAATCCACTTGTGACACTCCAAGGCTTGCGCTACTTCGGCTTAAGTTTGGCCCTCTTCGAACCTACCAAAAACTCTCCAAGCTTCTGAATCGGTTAAGCTTCACTGAGACTTAGTACTCATCGAAACAAAGCAGTCACTGAATGCCGTCAACCTTTCTTCATTGTCTTTTATCAGTTGAAGTAAATCATTAGTGCGCTGAAGCGGCAATATTAGCAACTCAAGTTGAAAATCAGAAAAATTTACATTGTGATCTCTTCTCAATTCGGCAAAAAAAATTTGCTTACATCTTATTTTATATAAAATACAAATCCTTAATTGTCGGCAGTTAGAATGACGTGCACTGTCTGTATCTCGCGGCACCAACGGTTACGTAATGCAGAGACTGGGAAAGCTCTTCTGGGAGTATGATTGACTATCTGATGTCCAATAAGGAAGAAAAGTTGTTAGTTGAGTCGGCTTTGGTAATGGAGAAAAATGCACGTTCATTAAAAAAAAGCACTAAAAGCAAAAAATAAGGCCTAAAAACAAAAAAAATAAGGGCTTTAAAGAAAAAGTATGCACCTATAAGGGCCTTTATATTTTATTTTCAAATAGACTTATAAGCACTTACAAGGACCACTACGAACCCTGGCAGCAACAAAGCCAAATTACTGATCGTACAAATTTATGCTAAAATGATCGTTTCTTAAATAGCAAGGTATTTAATTTAAGGTGTCGAAGTGAAACTAAGAATCAGGACTCTTCAGATGTTTTATTATACGCGGAGAGGGGAATCAAATGCACGTGCGTAAAGCCTATGAGAAAGAGTTGTTGGTAATTTTGAGGTCTGGATTTTAAATCATTCCTGATAATGGATGTCCAAATTTCGGATCATGTACTGTGTTATATTTTTGTTAAAAAATTTATTTCCATACATGAAAAAAAAAAAAAAAAATCTCTTATTGAATTCCCTGAAAACTGAAATTTATTTACTTACAAACAAATTTTGAATGTATTAGTGTGGAAATTGTTCATTATCAGAATTCTACTTGCATAGAATATTTTTTAAATATCTACAGTCAATAGGATTACCTTCAGCTCCTTCTTCCATTCCCATCAAGTAATCTTCTGGGGTGTTTGGCAGACTGTAATTTGTACCTAAACCTAAACCACTATCACCACTTTCCTGACGAGAATGGAAATCAGAATCACCACCCAAAAAGGGATCTATGCTAGTATGAGTTGAAGAGGTTCCATCAGAGCTGCTGTTAGTTGGCGATGTTGGTAAGGATCCCTCTTCCCGTAAAGTGCGTCTCATCATTTCCTGGATTGAAAAATAAAAAAAAAAAAAATTCATGATCAAATATTTATACTAAGTTGAGTTATAAAATCCTTACATGTAAATTGCAGTGAATAAATAACTAAACATGACGTTTCAAAATTTTGACGTTTTAAATTATAATTATCTTTATTTTTAGGTAGAAATGTAGAATGTTATTTCTACCTTTTCTATTTCAACCTTTTAATTATATTTCACAATTACAAAACTTTTATCCGACTTTTAAACAAATTTAACCTCAAAAAGGTCCATCTTCCTTTTTTTTTTTTTTTTTTTTTTGGCCTTTATTGGCTTTTTTTTTCCCTAAAGAACAACTAACTGTATTAACCCTCTGGAGGTACTGAGAAAGATAAGGTATTGTTTTCTAAAGCGTCACCAGCTTTGTCAACAAAAACTTTTGAAAAGCACGGAACCTTTCTTTCACAAAATGCACGAAAAGCGTTAAATACTTTTTTTTAGCCCCCCACACCTGCGGAGAATCATCAAGTGATCAAGATTAGTGTCGGCTGTAAAAATATTAATCACTGTCAAAACTTTGGCTTTTGGTAGTTTCCAAGAAAGTATATGTTAGCGTTTGTGATCCGACTTGTAACAGTAAGTCGAGATTTATGTTACCAAATCTGAATTTTGTGTAAAACTGCAAATCAAGACATTAAAAGAAAAGAATTATAATTTTTTTATTTTTTTCGTTCATAAAGCCTGCATGTAAATTTGTGCGCACATGTTTATATAGATATTTATTTATTTAACTCTTTATGAGCAATCTATATGCATGTGGGCATAATATCAAAATATTTTTGTGTTTCTAGTAACTTCACTTTAATTACTTAATTTACCTCTTATATATGATTACTTGCCTAGGATAGAAGCAATATTTTCTCACTGAAACAATATGATTTTCGATATGTTTTTTTATTTTTTTAATAAAAAAAGTAAAATATCTTGGAAATTAGGAAATTCTTATTTTATTTCAGCTTTGGGTTTTTCATCCAGGGTTTATTAAACTACGGATATAAATATTCACAATTACTTGATTAATGACAGAATAATTAACTGAACATGTAAAAAACTTATTTATTTTCTGATATAATCAAAACGTCTAAATTTTTGCCATGTAATTTTGGCTTGTGTAACAATAAGTAAGGAACCGCGAGTTTATTAATTGTACC